GACATTGTCCATGCCTTCCTGTCGGTGAGGGGCCTGGGTCCCCTTTGTGTGGCCACGCTGGAACTACGAATCCCAGCAGCCCCTGGGGCTTGCCCCCTTAGCACTGGCCTGACTTCCTCCTGGGGCTCATGGCACTGGTAGTTTTCCAGCCAGAGTTGGGTTGGGTCAGTCTGGGGGCAGAGAGGCGGTAGAGGTTCATTGTGCTCAGAGGCCTGGAAGTGCTGAGTAGCATCCTGGATTGTAGTTTCCCTGATACTCTGTCCCTGGGTATTGGCGAGTAACCATTCCCCTACTGCCAAGTTGGAAGTTCGCAGAAGAAACAAGTTTTCCCAGCAGCCTTCGGGGCTGCCCACCACTGGGCCTGTGGCTCTTTATGCTAGGGACAGTGGAACTTAGTTTTGGAGATAGATATGGCTACGGTCAGTGTGGTCTTGGAGCCTGGGGCTGTCACTGGAAGCGGACATCAGAGTCCTCGTAAAGTTGGAATTTGGTTGTTCACTCTGTGCCCCCTGATAATAGGACAAAGAAGACTACAAGTCCCAGCAGGCAGTGGGGCCTCCCTATGCCTTTTCTGTTAGTCTTTCTCGCAGTGGCTGATGAGACTTGTAGTTCCTTGGCCAGAGCTGGTTGGGGCATTGGTTGTCCGGTCCCCGGATCACCCCATCTTTGTGTTCCCACCTCTGTCAGATCCCCAGCCTGAGTCACAGTGTGCTGTCACAGACCAGCTTCAGGGCCGAGTACAAGGCCAGTGGCGGCCCCTCCGTCTTCCAGAAGCCTGTCCGCTTCCAGGTGGACATCAGCTCCTCTGAGGGTCCTGAGCCCTCCCCCCGACGGGATGGCAGTGGGGGCGGTGGCATCTACTCCGTCACCTTCACTCTCATCTCCGGTGAGTCTTTCTCGACTAGATTGTCCTCAGCCTAGTGACTGGGATGCTCACACCAGCTGAGATGGGACAGTGCCCCAGGAGTGCTGTAAGAGACAGGAAATGGCACTCGGTTGGTGCTGGCTCCATGAGCCACCTCCTCACACAGACCCCTGTATCCTTTCCACCCTCGTTCTCTCATCAACATTTAACAGGTGTTTACGATGTAAATGAAAAATGTGTTATTTCCCTGAAGCTTCCAAGCAGCCTCTGAAGTGTTCATGATCACCTATTTTACAGAGGAGAAAACCAAGTCCTAGAGAGGCCAGTAGACTTTCCCAGAGTCATACAGTAAATGGTGGCAGAGCAGGGGCTCAACCTGAGCCTCCTGATCTCACAGGAGAGAGCCAAACTCTTTCTGCTACTTTCAGACAGTAGATCAGAAGGGCAGAAACACAGCATGCACCTCTCTCACATCTATCCTACCCAGTGCAGACATCATCAGTCAATTGCAGCACTGCTTCCTGCAGCGCTCAGCCACAGCTTCAGGAAGTTTAATCCCAGGCAGTCATGACCCATCAGGAGTGGGCACAAGAGAAGAAATCCATGGCAATGCCTTGCTTCTGATTCTCCTTGGTTCCGAGCCCTGCTAGGGAGAGTTTGATTACCAAGGGGTACCTTTGGCCTTCTTGTCACCACTATTTTTTTTTCTCTTTAAGTCGAGGTCTCCCTCTGTTGCCCAGGCTGGAGTGCCATGGCATGATCACGGCTCACCACAGCCTCAACCTCCTGGGCTCAGGTGATCCTCCTGTCTCTGCCTCCTGAGTAGTTAGGACTATAGGCTGTGCCACCATGCCCAGCTACTTTTTATCTTTTTTTGTAGACACGATGTTTTATGAGGTTGTCCAGCCTGGGTCACCAATCTTAATATGCCAGAGTGATGAACAAGGCTTGCTCTGAGGATTTTTAAACCACACTGCTGTGGAACCCTGTGGGGGAGGGGTGTTCCATCACCAAAGCCAAAACCAGTTACAGTGCTGTTATTTTTCTCTCCCCTTTTAATATGCAAATTTTTCTCAACTTTAAGATTTTTTTTCTATGTATTTTTCTTATATTTCTGGCCCTTTGTGGCCTCAACAAGAGCCTAACAAGCAATAGCATGTATTTAGATGGAAACCAACACCCGTCTCGCTCTGCTGCCCAGGCGGGAGTGCAGTGGCGTGATCACAGTTCACTACAGCCTAGGCCTCCTGGGCTCACGTGATCTTCCTGCCTCGGCCTCCTGGGTAGGTGGGACTACAGGCACACAACAATAATGCCCAGCTTATTTTTTATATATTATTATTTATATATTATATGTATTAAGTATACTTTATATTTTGTAAAGATGGGGTTTCACTATGTAGCCCAGGCTAGTCTTGAACTCTTGGCCTCCAGCAATCCTCCTATCTCAGCCTCCCAAAGCGCCGGTACTACAGGCATGAGCCACCGTGCCTGGCCCTGTTATTTGACGGTGTTCTTGAATAGCAACACAGAGACCCACATATAAACCATAGATTTATGCCAGCCCCAACAGAGCACAGGAAACTGAGACAAAGAGGAAAAGAGGTGTTTGCTCAGTAGAGGAACTAGCTTCTGCAGGCTCAGAGGGCCTTCTCTGTACCCAACCCCCCGTTTCCCTGCCCGCCTGTCCCTCCAGGTCCCAGCCGTCGGTTCAAGCGTGTGGTGGAGACCATTCAGGCGCAGCTGCTGAGTACTCATGACCAGCCCTCAGTGCAGGCCCTGGCAGGTGGGTAGCGGGGGCTGTGGGTGGCAGACAGGTGGCCAGTGTGACCAGGTGCTCCAGGCTTTGGCATGCAGACAAGGCCTCCTGTCAGGCTGTTTTGCTGCTGTGTTGCTGAGGTCTCACTGCAAAGTTGGAAGCTGGGGTCCAAGGAGGGACTCCCTCACAAGCTGAGAACGGGCCTCCTGGAGTCCCTCTGTTGGGGGAGTGGGACATCCTGCCCACAGACATTCTGGGCTTCTATTCAGGAGGAGAGAACCGGCCCTCCCAGTCTGCCTGGGACCGAGCAGGGGTTTCCGGAAGGCAGGGCTTTGAGTCTAAAACCAGGACTAGTGGGTCACATTCTGGATGGTCCCCAGCCACTAGGGCCGTTTGCTGAGTTCGTGGGGGCATATGTGGGATCTTTGCTCCAGGGGATCCGGCCTCCCTGGGCTCACCAGCCTCAGTTGTTAGCATGTGGCCAAGGACAGAGTGGAGACCAGGCCTTCACAGGGTTTGTTCCTAAGATGTCTTGGTCTGTTCAGGCCGTTGTAACAACATGCCATAGACAGGGCGGCTTGTAAACAGCAGGTACGTATTGCTCACAGTCTGGAGGCTGGAAGTCCAAGGTCAAGGCGCCAACAGGTTCAGTGTCTAATTAATGAGGCTGTTTACTGGTTCACAGATGTCACCTTCTTGCTGTGTCTTCACATGGTGGAAGGGGTGAGGGACTCGCTGGGGTTTTTTATAAAAGGATGTGAATCCCCTTCGTGAGGGCTCCACCCTCATGACCTGATCACCACCGAAGGCCTGAATTCCTAATAGCATCACTTTGTATTAATTTTTTTTTTTGAGTTGGAGTCTCACTCAGTCACCCAGACTGGAGTGCAGTGGCCGCTCCCGGCCAACGCAGCCTCGACCTGCTAGGCTCAGGTGATCCTTCTTCCTTAGCCTTCCAAGTAGCTGGGACTACAGTCACACGCCACCAAGCCCAGCTGGTTTTTTTATTTATTGTAGAGATGAGGTCTTCCCAAATTGCCCAGTCTGCTCTCAAAACCCTGGACTCAAGCAGTCCTCTCGCCTCCACCTCCCAAAGTGCTGGGATTACAGGCATGAGCCACTACTCCCGGTTGCCACATAACATTTCTAACAATCCGGGCAACAGAAAGCAGGCAGGAGGAGTTGGGGGCTCAGGCTATGAATTTTATGTGTGGCCCCAGCAAGCTGTCCCCTGGCAAACAGCATCGTAACCCGGATCTCTGAGAATCCCTCCTATAGTCCAGCCCAGGTCTGGCTTGGACTAACTCTGCCCCTCTCCCAAAGCCACAAGGGCCGCAGAGGGCCCAGGGTGCGGCCTCCATTCTAGGGAAGCCAGGCCTTGTTGCTAAGGGCGTGGCCCCCTAGCAACAGCCTCTGGAGGCTTCCAGCCCCTTGGCGGTGGGCTTGATGGATCCCCATCCCAGATCAGAGCTGGAGGCTGTGGCTGGAGGCCGTGGTCCCTGAGACCCTCTGATGAGGAGACCCCGCCCCTACCTCCTGAGCACAGACACCCTGACCTTGGGCTGTGGAGCCCACGCAGAGCCTCTCCCCCACAGATGAGAAGAATGGGGCCCAACCACGGCCCGCTGGGACCCCACCCCGGAGCCTGCAGCCTCCACCTGGCCGCCCAGACCCAGAGCTGAGCAACTCTCCCCGCCGAGGCGCCCCCAAGGACAAAAAGCTCCTGGCCACCAATGGGACCCCTCTGCCCTGACCCCAGGGGGCTGGGGAAGGAGGGGAGCCCCCCACCCCCCTTCCCTGCCCCCCAACTGTGAATCTGTAAATACGGCCCAAGGAATATGTCGGGAGGGGGGCGGACACACAAAAACCGGCCTTGCCCTGCAGGGATGGGGCTCCGGGGGGCCGTGCCC